GCCGCTTGTAATCGATGGGGCCGTACCCGCCCGGCGGGGGCATGTCCTGCTTCACCTTGGGCGCCGCCATTGCGGCGCTGCTTGATGACGTCACAGCGCCGCGCTGGCTCCGCCTTCCCTCCCCGCCCAGTTCCCGCGCGCGGGAAACTCACGTGGTGCAGGCACGTGAGGGGTGGGGCCGCCGCTTAAAGGGGCAACGCGCGGTTAAAAGGGCAACGCGCGCTTAAAGGGGCAACGCGAGTTTAAAGGGGCAATGGCCCAGGTGGGGCCGCAATGGCGGGGGGCGCTCAGAGACCCCCCGGGATCCCCCCGGGAAATCTGGGATCCGCTCCCAGGAAATCCCGCGGGAAAAGGGGCTGGAAAACATGGAATATCCCGAGTTTTCCCGTCCCTCCGAGCTGGGCTTCACCCGCAGCGGGATCCATTCCCTGATTCCCTCTTTTTCCCCAATTCCGTGGGAATTCGGGATAATTCCCCCCAATTCCGTGGGAATTCGGGATAATTCCGTGGAAATTTGGGATAATTCTGTGGAAATTTGGGATAATTCTGTGGGAATTCGGGATAATTCCATGGGAATTTGGGATAATTCCATTGAAATTCGGGATAATTCCATGGAAATTCGGGATAATTCGGGAATTCGGGATAATTCTGTGGGAATTCAGGATAATTCTGTGGAAATTCGGGATAATTCGGGAATTCGGGATAATTCCATGGAAATTTGGGCTAATTCTGTGGGAATTCGGGATAATTCCATGGAAATTCAGGATAATTCCGTGGAAATTCGGGATAATTGGAAATTCGGGATAATTCTGTGGGAATTCAGGATAATTCCATGGAAATTCGGGATAATTCCATGGAAATTTGGGATAATTCCATGGAAATTCGGGATAATTCCATGGAAATTTGGGATAATTCCATGGAAATTTGGGATAATTCCATGGAAATTCAGGATAATTCTGTGGGAATTCGGGATAACTCCATGGAAATTCGGGATAACTCCATGGAAATTCGGGATAATTCCATAGAAATTCGGGATAATTCTGTGGAAATTTGGGATAATTCCATGGAAATTCAGGATAATTCCGTGGGAATTCAGGATAATTCTGTGGGAATTCAGGATAATTCCATGGAAATCCGGGATAATTCCGTGGAAATTTGGGATAATTCCATGAAAATTCGGGATAACTCCATGAAAATTTGGGATAACTCCATGGAAATTCGGGATAATTCCATGGAAATTCGGGATAATTCTGTGGGAATTCAGGATAATTCCATGGAAATTCTTCGGGATAATTCTGTGGGAATTCAGGATAATTCCATGGAAATTCCAGATAATTCCATGGGAATTCCATCGTGGCCGTGGCTCTTCCCAGGTTACCGAAGACGCTCCAGGAATTTGGATTTTATCCGGAATCGGGCGCCAAATCAATCTGGGAATTTCCTCTTCTCCTTCCAGAGGGAAATCCCAGGGCTCCGTGAGTTTTCCTGGAATGTTCAGGTGAAATCCAAGGGCAGCAATTCCAGCTGGGAGCGAGGAAGAATCCGGATTTATGGATTTGCTCCGTCGCATTCCCGGGAAATTCCTCCGAAGGCGCTCCATGAAATCCCACGGAAAATCCACAAAATCCCAGATTTTTTTTCCCGTTTTCTTTTCCCGCCTTCCCGGGCTTGGGTTTTATTTTTTTTTGGGAATAAACCTCGGGAAGGAGCAGATCCAGCTTTGGGTGATCCATGGGATTCATCCCGAGCCCCAAAATCCCGGGAATTCGAGGCAATTCCAACCCCCCCATCCCGATACAATCATGGATTAATTAGCCATTAATTATTAATGATTAATTAGCGATTCCGGCTCCTTCTGCTGGCGGGATTAACGAGGATTATTAAATTTTGGGGGATTTATTCCGGAATATTTTCAATCCCAATAAATCCAAGGAAATCCAAACCCCCCCCTTGTTCCCCCTCCTTTCCCAAAGGGAAAATTTGGGAAGTTTGGAATTTTTTTTCCCAAAATTTTCCCGGATTTTCCTCCTTTTTCATCCCCTCCCGCAGCCAGAATTCCCAGTTTTCCATCTGGGATTGAATTTTGGGAATTCGATCCTGATTTTTTTCACCCCCAAAAAAAAAAAGGGGAAAATTGGATGGGAGGATCCAGAGGGAAAATAAAAATTCCCGGGATGAGGATAAAAGCAGGAGTGGGATAAATCCTGGATCCGCTGGAATTTTGGTTTTCCTAAGGAATCCCAGAAATATCAAAAATCTGGGAAATCTCCTTTTTTTTTTTTTTCCTGGAATGCTGATGGGATAAAAAAAAACCTCAGATAGGAAAAAAAATTAATAAAAAATAAATAAAAATTCCAACTTTTTCCCCTCCAAAAAAAATTCCAAATCCCAAAAAAAAAACCAAAAACCCGAATTCCACCGCGGGAATTTTCCCATCAAAATCCGGGATTTCTTTATTTAAATCTAAAATGACAACGGAGCTTCCTCGGGATCCTGGGAATTCCCAAATTTTATGGCTTTAGGGACAATCCTGGATCCGGAGCTGCCCCCCCTGGAATGGCTCGGGAAGAGCGGGAGAAGAGAGGATTCCCAAGGATTTGGGGGGGTTTGGGGGATGGGCGGCGTTCCCGTGGATCCAGGAGATCTCAGGGATTCGGGAATTCCAAAGGGATCCAGGAGATCTCAGGAATTCCAAAGGGATCCAGGAGAATTCAGGGATTCCAAAGGGATCCAGGAGATCTCAGGAATTCCAAAGGGATCCAGGAGAATTCAGGAATTCCAAAGGGGATCCAGGAGATCTCAGGAATTCCAAAGGGGATCCAGGAGATCTCAGGGATTCGGGAATTCCAAGGGGATCCAAGAGAATTCAGGGATTCCAAAGGGATCCAAGAGATCTCAGGGATTCGGGAATTCCAAAGGGATCCAAGAGATCTCTGGGATTCCAAAGGGATCCAAGAGATCTTTGGGATTTGGGAATTCCAAAGGGATCCAGGAGATCTCAGGGATTCCAAAGGGATCCAGGAGATTTCAGGGATTCGGGAATTCCAAGGGGATACAGGAGATCTCTGGGATTTGGGAATTCCAAAGGGGATCCAGGAGATCTCAAGGATTTTGGAATTCCAAAGATCTCGGGATTCAGAAACTCCAATGGGTTCAGGAATCCCAAAGCCAAGAGATTTCAGGAATTCCAAAGGGATCCAAGAGATCTTTGGGAATTCCAAAGGGATCCAGGAGATCTCAGGAATTCCAAAGGGGATCCAAGAGATCTCAGGGATTTGGGAATTCCAAGGGGATCCAAGAGATTGCAGGGATTTGGGAATTCCAAGGGGGATCCAAGAGATTGCAGGGATTTGGGAATTCCAAAAGGGATCCAGGAGATCTCAGGGATTCCAAAGGGATCCAAGAGATCTCAGGGATTTGGGAATTCCAAAGGGATCCAGGAGAATTCAGGAATTCCAAAGGGATCCAAGAGAATTCAGGAATTCCAAAGGGATCCAAGAGAATTCAGGGATTCCAAAGGGATCCAAGAGAATTCAGGGATTCGGGAATTCCAAAGGATCTCAAGGATTTGGGAATCCCGAAAATCTCTGGAATTCGGGAATCCCAAAGTTCTCAGGAATTCGGGAATCCCGAAAATCTCTGGAATTCAGGAATCCCAAAGTTCTCAGGAATTCGGGAATCCCGAAAATCTCTGGAATTCAGGAATCCCAAAGATCTCAGGAATTCAGGAATCCCAAAGTTCTCAGGAATTCGGGAATCCCAAAACAGATCCCAAAGCTCTCAGAGGATCCCGAATTCCAAAGGGAATCCAAGATTTCTTCCCCAATTCCCCCCCTCCACCATTCCCAAAATTTCCCTTCCAGGCCACAATTCCACACCGGGAATTTTCCGGGTTTTTTTGGGAATTTTTTCCCTCCCTTTTTTCCCATTTTTCGGTGAAGTTTTGTTGTTTTTCCCTGGAAAAAGGAGACCGGGAAGAGATTTGGAAAATTTTGTATTGGAGAGTTGGAAAAACTTTGAACCCGAACCATCCCAATCCCAAAAAAAAACCCCCCAGGGGAACAAAGGGATGGGAATTCCCAAGGGAAAATCCCGTTCCCGCATTCCGCCACGGAATCTTTTCCGGGATGGATCCCGAATTTGGCAGAAGCTTGGATGGAATAAAACGAATCCTCCGAATTCCCGGCAACATTCCAAGAAAAACCAGCGGGGAAAAACGGCGTCGGAAGCGGGACGGATCCCAGGAGCCGCATTCCGGGCGGGAATTTGGAATTCCAGACGCATTCCGGGCGGGAATTTGGATTTTCAGCCTCATTCCAGGCAGGGATTTGGATTTTTCCAGCCTGGATTTGGAATTCCAGCCTCATTCCAGGTGGGAATTTGGATTTTCAGCCTCATTCCAGGCAGGGATTTGGATTTTTCCAGGCAGGGATTTGGATTTTTCCAGCCTGGATTTCGTTTTCCAGCCACATTCCAGGTGGGAATTTGGAATTCCAGCCTCATTCCAGGCGGGGATTTGGATTTTTCCAAACTGAATTTGGATTTTCCCAGACTGAATTTGGATTTTCCCAGCCTGGATTTGGATTTTCCCAGTCCGGATTTGGTTTTCCAGTCTCATTCCAAGCAGGAATTTGTATTTTTCCAGCCTGGATTTGGATTTTTCCAGCCTGGATTTGGTTTTCCAGCCTCATTCCAGGTGGGAATTTGGATTTTTCCAAACTGAATTTGGACTTTCCCAGTCCGGATTTGGATTTTCCCAGACTGAATTTGGATTTTCCCGGCCTGGATTTGGAATTTCAGTCTCATTCCAGGTGGGAATTTGGATTTTCCCAGACTGAATTTGGATTTTTCCAAACTGAATTTGGATTTTCCCAGCCTGGATTTGGTTTTCCAGCCACATTCCAGGCGGGAATTTGGATTTTTCCAGACTGAATTTGGATTTTTCCAGCCTGGATTTGGATTTTCCCGGCCTGGATTTGGTTTTCCAGCCACATTCCAGGTGGGAATTCTGACTTTCAGCCCCATTCCATAAAATCTTTTGGCTTTTTCCAGCCTCGTCCCAGTTTGGATTTTGGTTTTTCCAATCTCGTTCCGTGCCGGATTTTCCTTCCCCTTCCAAATAAATTTTTTTTGGGATTTATCCTGAATTATCCATCAATTCCAACATTCCCCATTATTTAAACATTCCAGCTGAAATTCCAAAGGAATTCTCCTGGGATCCAAAAAAGTTTTTGACGTCGTTTTTGTTTTTTTTTTATCCCGTTAAATCCGTCTGCTCCTCTTTCATTCCCGGGTTTTTTTTTCGGGAATCATCCAAAAAATCGGGAATAACGAAGGTTTTCCCGCCCCTCCCTCATTCCCCCAAAAAAAAATTAATTTGGATTTTAATTGAAGGAATTTTGTTGGAATTTTTTGGGGGAATTAAGGAATTTTTTCCGAATGTTGAGGGAAAAAAATCCTCCCAAAAAATTCCAAATGTGGGAAATTTTCCATAAAATCCGAGGGAATTTCAGGAATTTTGCCTGTCAGCATCTCCCAATCCAAGCTTGGAATGAAAACTCCCAAATTCCAAAATTCTGACCCAATTCCCACCTCCGAAATCTCGGAAAAAAAGCCCCAAAATCAGCAAATTCCGGGGGTTTTTTATCCAATAAATCCCGGTTTGGGAAAGGAATTTTTGTGGGTTTTTTTTTTTTTTTAATTAAACTAAATCCCTAAATATCAAAAAATTGGGAAAAGTGGGAATAGGGAGGGGTTTTGTCACTCGGATCCGAGGGGGATGATCCCGAAAAAATTCCTAAGAAAAATAAATCCGGCTTTTCCTGAATTTTTTTTTTTTCCTATTTTTTATATATAGAGCTCTAAATTATATTTATTTATCATTTCCCCGAGAAAAATTCCCAACATTTCCCAAAGAATTCTTAACACTTGGAATAAAACCTGGAATTCTGCCACTTGGATTCGTCTGGAATTCGGGAAGAAACCCAAGGAAAAATAATAATAAAAATAAAAAAAAGAGGATGAGAAACGGAAATGAAACCGGGGCCGGATGGATTTTGGGTTAAACCTCTGGAATTCCCAAAAAAAAATGATGGAAAATTCCATCCCAAATGGATTTAGGAGAGCGCTGGAAGAACTGGAATCTTGGGAAGGGCCGGAATTCCCGGTGGGAATCGGGAATCGCTCCCGACTTTCCCTTCTGGAGCTTCTGGAATTCCTAAAAAAATCGTGGAATAATATCCCTCGAAACAACAACAGAAAAGGAAAACAGAAAATTCCCCCCTCCCAAAAAAAAACCAAAATAAAATCCCAACCAAACCCTCCCAAAGGAAAAAAAAATTCCCAAAATTCGCTTTGGAGTCTGAGAAATTCGGGAAAGCCCCAAAATTCCCGGGATGAGAAAGAACCGAGGCGGATTTTTGTCTCTCAGTAACTGCAAAGTTTGGAAATTCCCAACGGTTCCGAAGTTTATTCCAACCAGAATCCAAAAAAAAAAGCGGGAATCTCCCTCAATTCCCACTTTCCAGCCGAGATTTGGGATTTCCCGAAAGGAAAAAGAAAAAAAAAAATTAAAATAAAAAAGACCCCCCCCCCGGAACCATTTTCAAGCGGAATCGGGAATTTGAGTTTTTCTTCTGCGCGGAATCCGTCGGGATTTTGGGAATATCGGGATGAGCCGCTCCCGCTTTTCCCGGCTGGAAGAGGAGCAGGGGAAAAAGGAGCAGCCACGAATTCGGCTCACTAAACGCAGGATGAGGCTGGAATTCCTCTCTTTTTCTTTTTCTCTCCACATTCCCCCCCCCGAAATTCCGGAATTCCGGAGTTTTCCCGGCCAAAAAAAAAACGTTCGGCGGGAGAGGAATCGCTGAGTCTTTGTTTTGTGCTGGTGCCAAAAAAATTCTGGAACTAAATAAGGGAAAAAAGCCAAAAAAAAAAGAAAGAAATGAAGGAATTCTTAAGGAATTCTTCCTCCTTTTCCCTGCCAGCTTCCATGAAAAATCTGGGAGCCAACGGAGCCGGGATTCGCTTCTTTCCCGGCAGGGACGGATGAGGATCGGTGATGTCGCATCCTAAAAAAAAAGCCTTGGGGTGTTTTTTATTTTTCCAGCTGGGAATTAAAGCAGATTCCACGGAATTGTGGTAAAAAAAAATAAAATCAAAATCAAATTCCAAAGAAACAAACCAAATCCCAAAGGATGGCAGAGCCTGGTAAAAGTTCTCCCTGGGGGGAATTTTATTTCCACGTGGCCGACTGTGGGATGGAGCGGGGCGGGATCATATCCAGGAGATATTCGCGCTGCCGCTCCACGGCCGAGGCCGATTTGTGCACGGCCAGGGCGGGGCTGACGAAGGGCAGGGCCCCACCTGCGGGAAAAAACAAAAAAAATGGGAATTTTTGGGATTTTTTGGGAATTTTTTTGGATTTTTTGGGATTTTTTTGTGATTTTTTGTGATTTTTGGGGACTTTTGGGGATTTTTTGGGGATTTTTTTGGATTTTTTGGGATTTTTTTGGGATTTTTTTTTGATTTTTTGGGATTTTTGGGGGATTTTTGGGGATTTTTGGGGATTTTTGGGGATTTTTTGGGGATTTTTTGGGGATTTTTGGGGGATTTTTGGGATTTTTTGGGGATTTTGTGGGGATTTTTTGAGATTGGGGATTTTTGGGGATTTTTTGGGGATTTTTTTGGGATTTTTGGGGGATTTTTGGGGATTTTTGGGGATTTTTTGGGATTTTTGGGATTTTTTGGGCATTTTTTGGGCATTTTTTGAGATTGTTTGGGGATTTTTTGGGATTTTTTCGGGAATTTTTTGGGATTTTTTTGGGATTTTTTTGGAATTTTTTGGGGATTTTTTGGGATTATTTGGGGATTTTTTTTTTTGATTTTTGGGGATTTTTGGGGGATTTTTTGGGATTTTTGGGGATTTTTTGGGGATTTTTTGGGATTTTTTGGGGATTTTTAGGATTTTTTGGGGATTTTTTGGGGATTTTTTGGGAATTTTTTGGGGGATTTTTGGGGATTTTTTGGGGATTTTTTGGGGATTTTTTGGGATTTTTTGGGGATTTTTGGGGGATTTTTTGGGGATTTTTGGGGATTTTTTGGGGATTTTTTTGGGATTTTTGGGGATTTTTGGGGATTTTTTGGGGATTTTTTGGGATTTTTTGGGGATTTTTTGGGAATTTTTTTGGGATTTTTGGGGATTTTTTGGGGATTTTTTGGGGATTTTTTGGGGATTTTTTGGGGATTTTTTGGGATTTTTTGAGATTGTTTGGGGATTTTTTTGGGGGATTTTTGGGATTTTTGGGGCATTTTTTGAGATTGTTTGGGGATTTTTGGGAATTTTTTGGAATTTTTTGGGGATTTTTTGGGATTTTTGGGGGATTTTTGGGGGATTTTTTGGAATTTTTTGGGGATTTTTGGGATTTTTTGGGGATTTTTTGGAATTTTTTGAGGATTTTTGGGGATTTTTGGGAATTTTTGGGAATTTTGGGGATTTTTGGGATTTTTTGGGATTTTTGGGGAATTTTTTTTTATTTTTGGGAATTTTTGGGAATTTTGGGGATTTTTTTGGATTTTTGGGATTTTGGGAGCGGGGAATTGAGGGATGAAGAGGGAATGATGGGGGGGATGAGGGTGAAAGGGGTGGGGAACGCGGGGATCAGCGCGGAGGGAATCGGAGGATTCAGGATCCAAATTTATCCTGAGAAGGGAAAAGTTTGGGGCCAAAAATGAGGATTTGAGGTCTCTGGGGTTATGGAATAATTTGGATATTTGGAGCAATAATTTCAATTATTATTTAAACCTTTCTAGATCCTTAAATGAATTAAATTCATTTAAATTCAATTCCAAATGAATAATTTGGATATCTGGAGCAATAATTTCCAATTATTATTTAATTAAACCTTTCTAGATCCTCAAACATCTCAATTCCAAATGAATAATTTGAATATTTGGAGCAATAACATCCAATTATTATTGAATTAAACCTTTCTAAATCCTTAAACAACTCAATTCCAAGTGGAGAATTTGAATATTTGGAGCAATAATTTCAATTATTATTTAATTAAACCTTTCTAAATCCTTAAACATTTCAATTCCAAGTGGAGAATTTGAATATTTGGAGCAATAATATCCAATTATTATTTAATTAAACCTTTCTAGATCCTTAAATATTTGAATTCCAAATGAATAATTTGAATATCTGGAGCAATAATTTCAATTATTATTTAATTAAACCTTTCTAAATCCTCAAACATTTCAATTCCAAATGAATAATTTGAATATCTGGAGCAATAATATCCAATTATTAATGAATTAAACCTTTCTAAATCATTAAACATTTCAATTCCAAATGAATAATTTGAATATTTGGAGCAATAATTTCAATTATTATTGAATTAAACCTTTCTAAATCCTCAAACATTTCAATTCCAAATGAATAATTTGAATATTTGGAGCAATAATATTCAATTATTATTGAATTAAACCTTTCTAAATCCTCAAACATTTCAATTCCAAGTGGAGAATTTGAATATCTGAAGCAATAATTTCAATTATTATTGAATTAAACCTTTCTAAATCCTCAAACATTTCAATTCCAAGTGGAGAATTTGGATATCTGGAGCAATAATACCCAATTATTATTTAAACATTTCTAGATCCTCAAACATTTCAATTCCAAATGAATAACTTGGATATCTGGAGCAATAATATCCAATTATTATTTAATTAAACCTTTCTAAATACTTAAATATTTCAATTCCAAATTAATAACTTGGATATCTGGAGCAATAATTTCAATTATTATTGAATTAAACCTTTCTAAATCCTCAAACATTTCAATTCCAAGTGGAGAATTTGAATATCTGAAGCAATAATTTCAATTATTATTGAATTAAACCTTTCTAAATCCTCAAACATCTCAATTCCAAGTGGAAAATTTGGATATCTGGAGCAATAATTTCAATTATTATTGAATTAAACCTTTCTAAATCCTCAAACATCTCAATTCCAAACAGAAAATTTAAATTTTTCCATGGATTTTCCCTCCCGCCGTCGCCATCCGACGAGGACAACCCACCACAACTTCCACCTCAAAACCCCTCCAAGACTCCAAATTAAAAAAAAATCCGGGAATTTTCCCTCTGCCATTCCAAGGAAAATCCCTTTTCCTCTACCTGTGCCCATGGGATTTTTCTTCCAGGTGCCCGCTCCTCCTTTTCCGGATCTTTCCGAGTGTTTTCCGGGCCGGCTCCCGAGGGTGCCCGAGGAGCTCTGGAGCTTTGGGGAGGAGCTGAAGGCGTGCAGGACCCCTCGGGAAGCGCCAGCACCTCGGGACATCTGGCTGGAACTCTGAAAAATAAAATAAAATCCCCCCAAAAAATTAATAGAAATAAAAATTTGGGATGTGGGTTTTGTTTGGGATTAAAAATTCCAAGGGGTTTTGGGGTGAGATGATTTTTATGGATGGAATTTGGGAGTTTTGGGATCCTTGTGGGATGAAGAATTTGGGTAAAAAGCAGCAAAAAAAGGGATTGAATTGAGGTCAGTTGGGTGTTTTGGTGCTGGGGCAGCTCTTGGGATGGATCCCCAGCACCTCGGGACATCTGGCTGGAACTCTGAAAAATAAAATAAAATCCCCCCCAAAAATTAATAGAAATAAAAATTTGGGATGTGGGTTTTGTTTGGGATTAAAAAATTCCGAAGGGTTTTGGGGTGGGGGAGGTTGGGAGTTTTGGGATCCTTGTGGGATGAAGAATTTGGGTAAAAAGCAGCAAGAAAAGGGATTGAATTTAATAGAAATAAAAATTTGGGATGTGGGTTTTGTTTGGGATTAAAAATTCCAAAGTTTTGGTGGAATTTGGGAGTTTTGGGATCCTTGTGGGATGAAGAATTTGGGTAAAAAGCAGCAAAAAAAGGGATTGAATTGAGGTCAGTTTGGTGTTTTGGTGCTGGGGCAGCTCTTGGGATGGATCCCCAGCACCAAATTTAATAGAAATAAAAATTTGGGATGTGGTTTTTGTTTGGGATAAAAAATTCCAAAGGGTTTTGGGGTGGGATGATTTTTATGGTTTGGAATTTGGAGGTTGGGAGTTTTGGGATCCTTGTGGGAT